CCTGCATGACCCAAGAATCTATGGATACCCTTTACAAAAGATGGGGAGGTAGTTGTTGATTATCTCTATCTTCACTCGATCCACCTTCATCCCTTGCTTGGAGATCTTGTGCACATAACTATCCCTTCACACACCATGAAATGGCACATCTCTTAACTTAGTGCAAGGTTTGTCTCTTCACACCTCTTTAAGATGACCTCAAAGTTATGAAGTCACTGATAGAACAAGTCTCCGTTAACCGATAAGTAGTCCATGAAGACTTCCATGATTTCTCCAACTAACTGGTCTAAGATTGCCATCATGCACCTCTAAAAAGTAGTTGGTGCATTGCAGAGCCCAAACGAAATCCAACGATAAGCAAAAGGGCCGAAGGGGAACGTAATAGTAGTATATTCCTGGTCCTCTGGTGTAGTCGGAATTTGGAAATACCCGGACATACCATCTAGGAAGCATTAGAACTCATGTCTCGCCAATATCTCGAGCATCTGGTCAATAAAGGGAAGTGGGAAGTGGTCTTCCTAGGGGTATCGTTCAGGCGGCGGTAGTCAACGCAGACTCTACGCCCAGTCACTGTTCGCATCGGGATCAGCTCGTTCTTCTTGTTCGGGACAACTATCATCTCGCCTTTCTTAGGCACCACCTGATTAGGACTGACCCACTCACTTCCAGAGATACAAAAGATGATACCCGCATCCAAAAGCTTGATGATTTCTGCCCTAACCCCCTTCTTCGTATTCGGGTTCAGCCTCCACTATGGTTGCACCAATGGCCTAATCTCATCCTCCATTATGATCCAATGTGAGCAAAAAGAGAGGATAATGCCTCTAATATCTGTGATCTTCCAGGCCAGTGCTAGTGCATACTTCTTCAACAAGGCCACCAGTCTGGCCTTCTGCTTGGGGGTGAGCGTTGAGCTGATAATCACTAGCAGTGTGTTCCCCTCCCATAGGAATGCATACCCCATGTGATTGGGGAAGGACTTCACTCCAGCTATGGTGGTGATCAGAGCTAATTTGGAGACTGGCCCCATTGGGGTCTCGTGCTCTTGGGTCACCCCACCATCCAATGCTGCCAACTACTCATTCGACTACAGCTCTTGTGAAGCATGTTCCCCTACAAACAAACAATGCTTAAAGGAATCGTCAGTACTCACACTCGTGATGTCAAGTGCAATCTCAAAATCAGAAGACACATCGGAATAATCCAAGTCATCATGCAAGTGGGAATGCTTCATATTATCAAAAACAGAATGTTATTTGCTCATCCCAGCCCGCAATGTTAACTTGCCATCATTCACATCTATGAGTGCCTAGACGGTGGCAAGAAATGGTCTACCCAGAATTAGAGTCACCTTCACATCCACATTAATGTCAAAAATCATAAAATCAATAGGGTAAACAAATTCACCCACATACACAAGCAAATCCTCAACAATTCCTCTAGGATGCACAATTGATCTATTAGCTAACTGAATGCTCATCCTAGTGGTACTGGGTTCACTTAGGCCTAGCTTTCTAAACAGCTTATAGGGCATGGCGTTAATGTTAACACCTAAATTCTCCAAGGACTTTCCTACATGCTAACTACCAATAGTGTAGGGAATAGTAAAACTCTCTAGGTCTTTCCGCTTCTCGGGCAGTTTGTTCTGCAGGATGGCAGAATACTCTTCATTCATCATCACTTTCGACAGTTCCCCAAGTTTCTTCTTATTGGCGAGGAGATCTTTCATAAATTTAGCATATTTGGTCATCTTTGATAGTGCTTCCACAAATGGCAGATTGGCCTGCACCTGCTTCAACATCGCAATGAACTCGGTGAATTCAATCTCTAGTATGTCTTTATGCATCCTAGTGGGGAAACAAAGTTGAGGGTCATGCTGCTTCAGCACTGGTTGTGGCTTTGGGGAATACACCTCTTCCTCCTTATTCACTTCCACGGTAGAGACTGGAGCTGCTGGAGTAGACCGCTCTTCTTCACTTCTGGAAAGAGCAGGGATGATAGCAGTCTTCTTCCCACCCTAAGAGATATTGCCTTCAAATGGGCAAGAGGAACCTGAGGATTGAGCACTGTGTTAGAAAGCAATACACCATGTGGTCTGTTGGCAACAAATTGAGCCACATTCCCAATCTGGCTTGATAAATCCTGTAAAATCGCCTAGTGGTGTCTCTGGCCATCCTCAATATCAAAAAATTTCACAATAGCTAAGTCCATGAACTGTTCCATCTTGCTAAATTTCTAGGTACTAGTGATCATGAAGTTGTTAACCAATTCATCCATCTTCGACAACCTGTCAGGTCGAGGTGTACAGGTGCTGCTGAACCCTGGAGTTGTTGATGATGTGGGTAGCCACCACCTTGATTATGCTATCGAGGTTGGTAGGGAGGACGCTGCTGATATCCTGCAATCGGTGCCTAGAATCCGGGTGGCCTAGGATTCGTGGGAGCAGCCCACGAGAAATTGGGATGTTGGCATCACCTTAGATCATAAGTTTTGTTGTACGGTTTGTTGCCACCGCGAATATAAGTAAATAACCTCAAATTATATTTTATATATAAATAAATTCATTTGATGTTAATATTTTTTTTTCACATTTCCATATTTTGTAAAACCGGTACATATCGGCAGAAACCAATTATACTAATAATCAAACAATTGAACTTGCTAAACCGACGCAACGATATTAGGAGTGTTCAAATGGTTACCATGGTAATAACCAAACAAATAAGTCTAAAATTTATTAACCATGGAATACAATATAATAACCAAACCGTCCAAACTAATACAACAACCAAATTCACCAAACCAAAATTTAATCGGTTTGGTTAATTGGTTAACCAGATTAACCAAAATAATATCACATGTATCATTAAGTGAATAAAATATAACAATAAACAAATAGTTATAGTTAACTCTTAGGGTATGCCTACTATGACATGCATGTCACCGTGACATGGACTTTTCGGTCGACCTAATCCTGAAGGCGGTCGGCCGAATTGACTAATTTGGGCAGCACGAGAAAGCATTGCGGTCGACCTCAACGACCACCTGGTCGACCACACTTAGTTTAAGTTGTTATTTTTGGTCGACCAGAATAAAACCTCGGTCGGCCATTTCGTTGGCGTTAGAAACAACATGGTCGACCGTAAAGGTATATAGGTCGACCACTTGATGACAGTCATTAACAAAAGGGTCGACCAGATAAGGAAAGAGGTCGACCAGATAGAAGATAAGTGTTCTATCAATGTGTCCAATCATTTGACGTAAAATGAAGATCAAGTGTTGGTTTCGAGGTCGACCTAATCCGGTACGAGGTCGACCGAATACAAGAAAGTCAACTTATGCCCCGTGTCTTTTTTGCTTATGTATGTCGATTTGTGTGGTTCTTTTGCTCGTATAAATTATGTTTCAAACCATCATAAATAGTCATAAATAATGATAACAAGGACTCATCAATTCATTGCATAACATTAAAACAAACTAATAAGAAATACAATAAAACAGAAATCATAATTGTTCACACATAAAAAAAAAACTAAAACAACAAAATAACAATCAACAATCGTTTTGACCACTTAACAATAAAAACACACAATCTAAAATCTTCGAGTTCCTACTCATGTCCCCCTCTCTCCCTCATCCACATTTTCTTCGTATTTATAGAGATTTAAGACGTGAATGGGTCGACACCAATGCAGTTAAAAGCGCGATTCTACCTAGAAGCGGAAAATGGGTAAAATCGTAAAACGTAGAATCAAAGCGTAAAATCCTAAGTTTTTGACGCACCCATTAAAATAGCTAAAATATGTTAAGTACAACATATAGTATGTAAAATGTGAGCGTGTAGATTTTAAGATAAGTGGATAACTACATTAAATTCATAACTAAAATCTAATATCTAACACATAAACTAATTTACGTTGACTCAAAAGTAGAGAAAACTCATAGCATCTTAATAATAAGCTCATAAACGTAGATCGTAACCCATAAACGAGCTTGAGAATCCAAATTCTCATAAGCTGGTTTGAGTTTACATAATTACATACGATCAATTACCCATAAACTTTCATCGTAACCCAGGTAAGAGCCACATGTGAAGATTAAAGGAGAAGACTGATAGAAGGTAAGTGCCTGTTGAGAATACCATTAGGTGTCTTTTCAACCTAATGTGAAGTCCCTATTTCGACACTAGCTGCAGAACGAGTGATGAATCATGTTTTCCTTTTTCTATTTTTGCTGGTATGTCTGCAAAATTACATCATTTGGGCCAATTAGCACAATTTTATGAGATGATCAAAATCGTATAAAAACACTTCAGAATCGCGATTTTACCGATTTTACCCATGTTTTTACCAGTTTTTGTGACTAAGCGACTTTAGGTAGAAACTGAAACGTTTTGGTGGCCTGGATACGTAAAAACGTAAGTTTTTATGTTTTAATGCGCGATTTTGACTACACTGGTCGACCCACTTTGTTTTCTTGTCCAATTGTGGAACCTTTCTGCTGTTAGAATCCTTATCCAATACGGATACGGTGTGCATGCGGTCGACCTCTTACTAATGAGATCGACCTGATAGGTGCACAAGGGTCGGCCTTTCATTCTGTTATACCACCAAGGAGGTTGACCATTTTATGTAGACGGTCGACCGCTTCTCTGAACCTCACATAACTGAATTTGTCAATTCGGTCGACCGCCTTGAGAATTAGGTCGACCGAAAAGTCCATGTCGCATGTCACCGTAGCAAAATCCTAACTCTTAACATAAATATATATATACAACTAATACAATTATCTTACAGTCAAACAAACTAAAATATTTTACCGAACCAAACCAATTATCCAAATTAACCAAACCAAATTATCTAAATAGTACAAGTTAAAAGGTTAGCATGATAACCGATCCGTTTGAACACCCCGCCCTAAGTCGATATAAACCGGTTTGACTAAACAACCTATCCGTCTTTATTTAATTCCAATAATTTCTTTCGTTCCCCTCCCTAAAGTTTCAATTCCGTCTTCATCATTTATTGCTATTTGGGGGGATTCCCCTGCTTCAGTTCCCCACCGGGTTCTCTGATTTTCTGCACTCTTTCTCTGTTTCGCGGTGGGTGTTCTGTGGTGTGTGTGGGGGTGGGTGGGTGTTTCTGCGTGGAGTGGAGCTTTGGATCTCTTAAATGTTTTGCTCATTCCATGCTCAGATCTTATTTGTGCTTCTCCAGAAATTGAGGTTAGCAAACGAAGAAGATCTCCATTTCTCTCTCTCTCTCTCTCACTCTCTTACTCTTTCTCTGCAGCTTCTCTATTTCTGCTTCCTTCCTCTTCCGTCTTTCGTTGTTCTTCTTTTGACCATTTGGGTCATTCTTCTTCTCTATGGCTGCGCCAGCTAGCTAGGGTTTCTGTTCTATTCGGATCTGCTGAGAACTAACTGGTAAAAAGGATAAACATTTCTGAGCACTCCTCCATTTCCCGTTTCTCCCCTCCCCTAGTTGGTTGCGGAAAGTTAAGGTCTAGATTTTGGGGTAATCCATGAGCAGCACCTGCACTTCAATTCCTGTGAATTGTGCTTGAAAATTGGCTGCGAAGTGCAAACCTTCATCTGGGTTGTGATTATTTGAGCTGATTATGTTGTTTCTCATTTCCTTTTCTGTGGTTCACAGGTATTCCATTTTTGCCTTGCTATCGTCCCAGACCTCCTTCGTCCAACATCTCTGAACATTTTGCCAAGAGGGGGTCCAATTGCGGCTTAAAAAGCTGCGGGCTTCACTATATTGGCATCTTGGTCACTGATTCAGGTACCTCCTTTTTTTTGTCCTTTCAGTCGTCCCTTTCGTTTTCGTTGGTATTGTCGTACAATGGCTTTTTTTCCTTGTCTGCAGTAGCTGGATTTTGTGTTTAGAGTGTTTTTAATGGTAATTAATTTCAAGTCCGACATAGCGCGAATTCTGTTTTGCCTCGTCTCAATGACTTCGTATTTAATGTGTGTATGGCTGCAATAAATGGTGCCCTGTTTTCCGTATATGGAGATGGGGATTCTGGTTGGTCAAGAAAAGATGTTGTGTGCAATCGGTTTACCTCTCCCTTTTGGTTACTTCATCAGCTCTCTTTCCTTTTGGATGCTTAGGGGATGTTGAATGTTTGGAATTTGGATTTTAGAGCTCCTTGTGTCTAATTTTATCAATTTGATATCATCCTTCTTCAGCTTTATTAGGGTTTGGGACTTCATTTTACAATAAAAAAACGTCGTGTTTTGGTCAAGCAAACCTGTTAGCAATCTGTTTTGCCATCTTGGTGCGTTTCAGGTATGCCAATGCGATTCCCTTAGAGGAATTTTTACCTGAGAAAAATGAACTGGTAGTTAGTTTTGTCTCTTGTGACGGACTAAACCGTGAGAAGAAAACATCAAATTAGTTAAGCTTGCATCTGTAGTTTCTGTGACACAAAACGACAGTATGCTGTCATTTTTCAGCTCCATCTGTTTGATTAATCGTGTGAAGTGGGCGGCTTAGGTTGATTTATCAGCGTTGCAACTTATAATTGTTGGGTTGTTCCTCTTTCCCTAGACTTTTCGGTTTGTAAAGTGATCATTTCGTTAGACGGATGCCACATAATTTGAGTTACAAGTGATGGTTTCACACCTGTTTGTTTTATGATCTTCATATAATAGAAATACACTGGCTTCTATAGTTTTAAGGGTTTTCTATTTTCTATTTTCCATTTCCATCTCCGGGCTTATAGTTCTTTTCTACATAGTTGTTAACTATTAACATTGCGACAAATCACCATAGGTTAACATTTTTTAGAGATTCTGGTTGGTCACTCGATTGTGCTTTTTTTAGCTATTAATTATCTATTTCTGAAAAATACAATGTGAATTTTGTGGTCTTGGCCGTCATATCCATTGCTAGCATACTCCTATTTGTTTCTATGTGCTTTGGCTTCCCTTTTCATTTCTTTCCCATAAACTATGGATACTTTTACGGGACTTCTAGTTTGCTGTGTTTCTCAAAAGAGTTTTTTGAAAGAGATTGAACGTGTGTGAGAGATTGAGTGCAAGTATTGAAAGTTCAGGAGAAAAAGGCGGTGCCTTCACGTTTATTTAGTGTTTTCCTTTTGCTTTTCACCCTTGATTTCTGTCCTTTTTTATTGAATGATTTTCAGCTGTATGATATGGTGTTTGCCTTTACTAGAAGGAGATGAGTCGTATGACAAATGAAGGCAAAGATTCTGTTCTCCCCAAGGATCAGATAGAATCTCCATTGACCGAAGAAGAAAATTCTGCTAGAAATGTAAACGGACAAACGAATCTCAAGAAAGGTCCGTGGACAGCTGCTGAAGACGCAATCTTGATGGAGTATGTGAAGAAGCACGGGGAAGGAAACTGGAATGCTGTTCAGAAGCATTCTGGTCTTTCTCGTTGTGGGAAAAGCTGTAGGTTGAGATGGGCCAACCACCTCAGGCCAAACTTGAAGAAAGGAGCATTTACCCAGGAAGAAGAGCAGATAATTATCGAGCTTCATTCCAAAATGGGGAACAAGTGGGCTCGCATGGCTGCTCATGTAAGTCTATATAGTTTCCCTTTTAGCTGCCAACAGCTTTTCTCATCGATGGATTGGTTTTGTGTTACTTGATGAGATCTTACCTGAAAGTTGTTTTGATTAGATCTCTGAGTCTGAATTTATGGCTGTACTTGAAGTACAACTAACCTGATGATTTTTCTCCTTCATGTTCCTTCTGTGTGAGTTGTCAGAAGCCGTTAGACTTTCATCGAAGGCGTAAAACTGATGCAGTGTTAGGCTGCTGGTTTACCTAGTTTTTACTTTTTAGAAGTCATTTACCATGCGGTTCTCTACTTTCTTGCCTTTTCATTGGAAAGTTTCTTGACAATAATCTTCATGTTCCATCCACCACCACTGCTAGATCTCTTCCTTAGGGTTGGCCATATTGGATAATTACGCATGTTGACACATGTTGGCACTTGATTGGACTGTTTCTTCTAATCAGGGAATTTGTTTATGTTCATAACGAGTTATGTAATCTAAACAGTTTGCAATTTGCTGCATTCTACTTTAAAATCTGAAAGAAGCATGATATTCCTGCTGAGCTCTCTAGAATTTATGCAGAAACTGAATGTTGAACATGTTCCACGATTAGAAGTTGAACTTTGTTAGCTTAAGGTCTCTTTTGCCTCTTACAGTTGCCTGGACGTACGGACAATGAAATAAAGAATTACTGGAACACCAGAATCAAGAGACGTCAAAGGGCTGGTTTACCTCTTTACCCCCCTGAAGTCTCCTCTCGTGCTTATCGGGATGGTCACCGGAGCTTCAAAATAGGTGGGGCGGATTGCAGATCTAAAGGGCATCACGACCACCTCTTCCGCAACTGCTATGAGATCCCTGAGATCCCTGATGTCACATTTGACAGATTGAAACCCAGTCAGGGGAGGATATCTAACTCTGTCCCTGAACTTGCTGATATTATTACTCCAAGTGGCATGCTGATGAAAGGGCTGGGGGGCTCGTCTCAATATGGTAGCTTCAGTTCTCCATTAATACATCATGGTCAGAAACGGCTTCGGGAATCATCTACTTCTCCTCTATACAGTGGTAGTGGGAGAAATGACTTCTCGTTTTCTGAGTCCTTTGGCTTGTCTTTCCCATTTGATTCTGATCCAAACGACATCAACAAGAATCAACAACAGCAACCACTTGATGATGCTCAGGGTGGCCATACCCTTTCATATGGCAACAATTTCTCTGCTTCTAAGCCTTCTACTGGGGCTGTGAAGTTGGAGCTCCCTTCACTCCAATATATCGATTCCGGTAGCTGGGGAATAATATATTCTCCACCGCCTCTCCTTGAATCGGTTGATACTTTTATCCAATCTCCACCTACTGCTGGCACTACTGTTGGGTCGAATAGCCCTTCTCCTCGCAATAGTGGCCTACTGGATGCTTTACTTCATGAGGCCAAAGCTCTAAGTGGTGCTAAGAATCATTGTTCTTCCGAGAAGAGTTCGAATTCCTCAACTGTTACCCCTGATGATATTGCAGACAGTTCAACCCTGAATGCTTGTGATGCAGCAGAATGGGACAACTATAACGACCCTCTTTCTCCCTTGGGCCATACTACTGCAACTTCGTTTCTCAGTAAATGCACTCCAATCAGTGCCAGTGGCAGTTCATTAGATGAACAAAAACCACATATAGAGACCGTCACTGGTATGGTTTCTCTTCAGTTTGTGTTTATTAACACTCTTGATTACTTTTCGGAAGCATTCTTTCTTTAACATTATGACAATCCTATTCAGAATGTCTCTGTAATTGATCTTGGTTTGTGCTGATTCTTAAGTCACAAGCTTTCATTTTGTTGCATCCCTCAAGTATATTCACTTTACTTTTCTCTTACAGGGTGTGAGATCAAGTCAGAAGCTGCAGATCGAGCCTTGACCCCAGAAAGAGAAAGGGAAAGGGACACTATTACAAGCCCTGATGCTTTACTCACTTCTGACTGGCTTGAACAAGGATCTGGCAGTGGCTACGGTGGCAAGGATCAGGTCGTGATGACCGATGCAATAGCAGCTCTCCTGGGTGATGATCTGAGCAGTGACTATAAGCAGATGGCTGCTGCAGGAACATCATCTGCCCCAAGTCAAGGATGGGTACTTGGCTCTTGTCCGTGGAACAACATGCCTGCTGTGTGTCAAATGTCAGAACTTCCTTGATGAAAGAAAAATGACTTGTCCCAGCATCGAACCCTTTTATTCCACCTTCTGCTGCTTCATAAATCTATCATGTGTTTCTTTTGGCTTTAGTATGTTCTGGGTCAAAGCAAGTCAGGACCAATTGGCTGGTGTTTGTTATATGATCATTGTGGTCTGTAGTTTGTCTGTGTTAAATGATCATGTGGCGTAGAATTTTTTTCTTTCCTTTCTGGATCTTCGATTTGTTGGGAATGGAACTATCATACGTATTGAACATTGTCATGAACCTTTAACATGAATTTCAGTGTAAGTTGAGAATTTCAAGATTTGCATCGCTCAATGCATGTATTTTCATATCATTAATATCCAATCTGATGAGAGAACTACAAACCAGAATCAGTTTCATGTCTCATCTCCAAAATTGCAATACAAGCACAAAAAAGTAACGGCAAGGGAACTTATAGAAGAACAGTTTTTAACCATGGTAAGTTACCAAAGTCTTGAACTGTGTTTTCTTCTCATTCTTCTTCCCTTGTTAAGCTGCAAAACTGAGGGGACAGTGAATCCCTGCTTCTGTGCCAGTTTCTGCAAATCGTCTCTTCTCAAGCCCAAAGTAACTCCAACGCCGAAGATGCAGAACCCTAGAAGCAAATCCCTGGCGCCTCTACCAAACCCTTCTACCAAAATTGCAGAAACTAGGGCCGCAGTCAGAACTCCAATGATCAGATCTTTATCTACTTTGCCAGAGGAAAACAACACAATGGCGACACCGGAAACCAGAAACAACCCTAACAGAACCAACGAGCTTCTCCTCCCTCTCCTTCTTCCCCATCCGCTTCCTCCGCCTCCGCCGAAACCCTTCCAAGACCCGGACCCACCTTTACCACCGCCATCTCCAGAAGTGCTGAGTTCCGCCAGAATCAGACCCAGCGGTTCGGGGAGCAAGTTAAGCTTGGAAGCGATTGAGAAGGCCAATTTGGGCAGAGTCTCGGCTACCCTGTGATACCCAGATCCCCTCTTGGCCTTTCGTGCGCAAATAACTGGGAGATGAATCTGGGTTCGGGACAAAAGTAACGGTGAAGGGCGAATCGTCGCTGAAATTTCGAAGAGTCCATGGGGTCCTTGTGAAGGGAGAGGGTCGAAATTGAGGTTCAGAACATTCTGCATTTCGGTGAGCTAGCCGGAGAGAGGAGCCAGCCAAGGAGCGACCGTTATGTGGGGAAAAGTTTGAAAATTTGGGAGATAGGAGGAGTAAGGAATCAAACTCCCTTGCTTTTAAAAAGTCTTCACCGGGAAAACCTTTGATCAGCAGCGGCGAAGTGGGAGACAAACCGGTCCTCCTCTCGCCGCGTTGTGTGCTCCACTTGTGAGCCGCGTTGTTGGAGGGATATGAAATGGGCCAGTTATGGTATGGGCTGTTCATATCACGGCCCATTTTTATATATTCACACCGGAATGATTACTATGACAATTATCAAATTAAATAACCTTAAAATTTATTAAAGGTTAATATCCTAATTTAATTCGAAGTTTAACGAAAATTCTGATCTCATTTTTCAAATAAGACATTTATGGCCCACTTTTGAAATTATTTGACAAATTTAGCCCGAAATTTATTTTGACAAAACTGACGGTCAAACATTCTCACGATTAATGACTGAGCAAAAACTACTTATGTGGCCTATGCATGATTGCCACATCATCAAATAATAATTTATTTAATTATCTGGAAGAAAATTAAAAGCAAAATAAAACAAATCAACAAATAAAAAAATAATAAGTCAAAGACCCGGGTCAAAATCCCTAATTTTCTTCTCTTCTTTCTTAACTCACTGCAGACAATCCAAAGGGCCCAAGAACTCTCCACCACCACCACCACCAGCTCTTCCCTCTCCGGCAGGGAGCTTCTAGAATCTAGATTCACTCTTCTCCGACGGCGGTAGGGGTGGCCATACGGTTCGGATTTACCGAACCGAACAAAAACCGACCAAAACTGAATTTAACCTTATTAGGTTCGGAATTCGGACTGGAATAGACCATATTTTGGGAGACATCTTCTTTTGAACCGAACAACCGATTTTCCGACCGATTTTCCGAATTGTCAACCTATGTGATCTGCACCCAGAGCCCACTCCTAGGCCCAAGTTCCCAACCCAGCCCAATTGTTTAACCCTCAGCCCATTCTCTGATACTGATAGCCCAATGCTTGCCCAAGTCCCAACCCTCAGCCCAATTGATCCATTCCACTTATGTGACTTACCCACCCAGCGGCCAACACAGCAGCAACCCTAACCCTAATCGAAACAGCAAACAGAGACAAGAGTACATACCCAATTCCATCCACGCCAATCTTCAGCGCCGCTGCCCGCTTGGCGACCACCGCAATTCGTCGTTTCTCCATGGGCGACGGAGACGCCCTAACTTGTGGGCTGCGTCAGCCCACCTCCTCAATCCATCTCTCTCCCACCGCACTCGCCGCCACCCCGCCTCCCACCCAGTCCCACCGACTCTCCCGTCGGCCGTCACCACTCGCAATCGTATCTCACCGCTCGTACTCGCGTTCGCAGCTCCCCGCCGCTCAGTGCTCCATTCTAGTCGGTGGCAGACATAGCAAGACAAGAGGATTCCAACTCCGAAGTCCAACGATGGCCTACCTCCACCAGTCGACATGACCACCAATCAGAAAGCTAGCACTAGCAGACAGTGAAATGCCGGCAGCTCCACCAACACCGACAGTCAACCAATTCCAAATGAGGACGTCCATGTGTTGGTATGTTCTAATTCTTGTTCAATCGTGAGATTGCATTGATTTGATAGGCATATTAGTTGAACTAGTGTATGCGTGTATATTGTCAGACTTGGTTGAGTTTATGTGAGGCATATTTGCTGAATTTGTTGAACTGGTTGGGGTTGGAAGCCTAGAACTATTTTGCTTGTATTTGTATATATGTAATTCTGCCTTTTGTATTTTCTTTAATGCTACTGTTGCTTGTATTTGTATATATGTAATTCGCATAGCAGTAGCACCATTCTCCCAAATAAACAAACCCAAAGCTTCTCGTTCCTCTCTTCAAGCGTGTTCGACTAGTTGGAAATAAATGATAAAGCTCTCTATCATTCTGCCTCTTTCATTTTCCTTAATGCTAGTGTTGATTGTGTTTATTGGTGATGGAAATTTACTTTGTTTATTGTTGGTGTAGGAAGAGGATTCATCGGCCGGTGGCGGTGAAGTTCCTGTGGAGGAGGCTGTTGCCCGCTCTACTAGTACTACCAAAAAAACATTAAAACCAAAAAGGAAGGAGATGAAGTCACGAGCTGAGTGTTGGACTCAATTTACAAAGTTCAATGCCCCAGACGGATACAAGATGTCAAGGTGTATGAAGTGTGGGAAGGAGTACGAGGCAGATACATTTCTTAATGGCACCAATGCTATGAATGTTCATATGCGAAAGGGTTGTGATGACAAAAAAAAAGGTACTACTCAACAACTATTGAACTTAGGAAAAACTGGGGTAGAAGGTGAGGGTACTTTAACAAACTGGAAGTTTGATCAAGAAGCTACTAGAAAGGGTTTAGCATACATGCTCATTATTGATGAAAAACCGTTCAAGTTTGTTGATGGGATGGGGTTTAAGTACTTCATGTCGCTATGCTGCCCTATGTTCAATATTCCTTATAGAAGAACAATCACTAGGGACTGTTTTGCCTTCTATACTGAGATGAAAGACAAGTTGAAAAGATTTTTTCAAAGTTGTGAAGGAAGAATTTGTTTGACTACTGATGCCTGGACTTCGAATAAGCAAGATAGTTTTATGTGCTTAACTGCCCACTTTATTGACCAAGATTGGAAATTGAGAAAGAAGATCATTAATTTTGGGGAACTTAAAGGTCATAAAGGTGTAGATATTGTTGATGGCATTGTTACTTGTTTGGATGATTGGGGGATTGACAAGGTCTTCACAATAACTGTTGATAATGCTAGCTCTAATGACACAGTTGTAGCCAAATTGAAGGAAGTTTTTAATATTAGAGGGACTAGTATTTGTGATAGTTCATTTCTTCACATGAGATGTGTGGCTCACATTTTAAATTTGGTTGTGTCTGATGGGCTTGGAGATATTTTCCTATCGGTGAAGAGAATTAGAGAAGCTGTGAGGTTTATTAGAAACTAACAAGAAAGGTTGAAAAAATTTAATGAATTTGCCAAAGTTCAAAAAGTAGTATGCAAACGTGGCTTGTGTCTTGATGTTCCTACTAGATGGAACTCGACATTCTTGATGTTGCAGGCTGCTGAGAGGTTTGAAAAGGTGTTTAAGATGTTTGACATGTATGATGATCATTTTCGAAAGGACTTGAAAAGCATGAAGGATAGACATGGCATAATTGGGGTCCCAGAGAAGGATGATTGGGAGAATGTAAGGAGGATGATGGGATTTCTTGGTAAGTTCTATGACTTCACTTTGAAGATCTCGGGCTCAAGGTATACCACTTCTAACTTGTTCTTACAAGAGGTGCATTCCCTATATCATTTGATACACAAGTGGGAGACTGAAGTTGAGAAAGCTTATGACTTGAGTGTCATGGCTAGCAAGATAAAAATAAAGTACGAGAAGTATTGGAGAGATGTGGATAAAATGAACAAGCTACTTTACATCTCCAATGTTATGGATCCGAGGTACAAGTTGGGTTTTGTTGACTATGCTTTAAAAAGGGTGTATCCTGAGGATGGTAAGGGAGAACGTATGGCAGAAGATGTGAATAAGGCTACATTTACTCTATTTGCTCACTATGAACAGCTTTGGAAATCAAAGCAATCTAAGAATGCCTCTACTTCTTTGGATCCAATTGTGGAGGAGTGTGATGTTGATGAGATTGATGTACTTGCTGAATACAAAAAGCATAGAGAGCAAATTGTAGGGGCGGTAAACAAATCTGAACTTGAGAAATACCTTCGTGAGGAAGACGAGCCAATGGTGCTCAAGTTTGATGTTCTAGGTTCGTGGAAAGTTAACAGCTTGAGGTTTCCAACACTTTCATTGATGGCTAAAGATGTTCTAGCGGTACCTATCTCTACCGTTGCATCTGAATCTGCCTTTAGCGCTGGTGGGAGGATTCTAGATGATTTCAGAAGTTCATTGACTGCTAAGATAGTGGAGGCTTTAATTTGTAGCCCGGATTGGATACGTGGTGATTCTGCACCACCATCAGCCTAGGAGGATCCAGAAGAGGTTGAGAAAATAGATGAAGGTAAAGTCTCAATTCTAGCATTACATATTTACAACATGATTAATTTGTATGTTATGACTAATTTTGGGTCTTTTTAATCTTGCAGAATTGGAC